GACAAAAGAGTCTGACGATCATAGGAGATGGTAGCAGGGACACTACTGAAGAGGATCGCAGACAGGAGCAAGGTGGAAAAGAGGAGGTTAGCCAAGCACAGGCGCCATCTTGTTACCGACCGGAAGCGGAAATCATTAGCATAGGAATTTGAGATGCAACAGTCTTTCACATTTAATTTCCATTTAGCTGTTTAGATTTTCCTCTTTTACCCTAAGTACTTTTACACCATAGAGGGAACAGTTGTTTACAGGTTAAGGTTCCTCTCGACCCTTTTTCTGCAGAACTACTTCTGATTCACATGTTGCAGCTGCTCATTAATTAGTTCCACTTATCAGAGAAAGAAAATGTGAAATATAGAAGAAAGAAGCTATATAGAAGATAAAGATACTAAGACTGTTCAGAATTTTAGGGATGTCCCGATACAACTTTTTCACATCCGATATACCGATCTTGCAGCCTTCAGTACTGACCGATACCGATATCAGTCGGATACAATATCAGCACAAATCATACGCACTTTTATCTATTTCGTAGTGTAGAATGTATGAAAGTCTTGATCAAGTGATATTACTCAGAGACAAGAGCCAGTAACAGTAAGTATGAAAAAATGAACTTTCATTTAACCATTGGTTGCAAAAATGTAAACCTTAACGTACTGCTTATATCAGAGATTTTTGATGCAGTCCGATATAATCAGATAGTGTTTTTGGGCCGATATCGAATTTCCTTCGATATCGATATCGGAACGAGACATCCCTACAGGATTTTTTGGCCCCTTTTGGATGTCAAGTCACAAGGTTGGTGTACTTCATTAGCTTAATGTGATAAATACACTTGTTTGATTATGATGTAAAAGTATATTTTCTGATATGAAGTATTTTTCTGGAGTTTTACGTGAATAGTTCTCAAAAGTTGTTGTGGCCAAAATAAACCCTGTTCTACAAATCTGCATTGTGCCTATGTCCATCCTTGAGGGTGCTACAATATATTTGGCTAAACTGCAGAGAGGGCACAAATGCATCAGCAGCAACACATTCCCTCTACAGCTATTTCTACTAGATGAAGCTCATTATCTGCCATACTTAGAGGAGAGAGAAGTTGACTCAATCCCTTTATGTATGTATTGGACCGGCTCAGAACACAGTGACGCACAAAGTTACAGACAATATCAAAATAAGGAAGGGGAAGTGATGCATCCAGTTAGCTGTGGGTTTGAGAATTTTAGAATTGTTTAGGTGATTAAAATACAGCACTCAGATATTTTCACGTTTTGAACGCCTGTGGCTCACTTCAAATCCAAGGTTAAAATGCTCCTAAGTGGGTGACCCCACCAATCTCACAAGAAAGCAGTGTAGTAGGAACAGCTCAACACAATTTTCACTTCAGTCTTCCCAATGATCCAGATAAAACCTGATTGATGTGATGTACGGTGGACTGACGGGGTGAGCATTCACTCCAGGCTAGTAAGAGGAGCAGCTGTGCTACAGCATCCCCTGCGTGTGTTGTCTGCTACGTAGTGTAATGTCAGAACAATCAGTGTTTGTCTTGTTTGTCTCTCAGATCAGATGAGATGGATATCCTGGACCTATAGTATGACCCAGATGTTTATCTCTGTGTCGGGACTGAGTTATGTATCTCGGCGAAGGTTAAAATTGGCTGTGCTAAGTGCCTCCCTGGCTCGGTTTAAATGCTGCAGGGAGGACAGTAAGTGCAAGGGACTTGCAGTCAGGTCATTTGAGGCAAGCATTTGGTGTGTGTGTTTGTGTGTGTGTGTTTGAATTTATATACATATATATATATATATATATATATATATAGATAGATAGATAGATAGATATATATATAGATAGATAGATAGATAGATTACAAAATGTATTAGTTGGTTATTAGTTTGTGTTTGACCTGTTATAACCTTGTTGTTGAACTTAAGTCCTTTTTCTCCCCCTCAGTTGTTTAACTGAAATGTTTTTGTCTTTGAGTTTCGAAAAAAGTTGTTGCTTCTGCTAAGCCGGTACAAACTCTTGTACTTTATGTGCTGCACAATAAAACTTGACTTCTTTGTGAATTACGTTCCAGAGCAGTCTCTTCTGTGGATTATCCTTGGAGAAAACACAATTCCAGTCCCTTATCATAGCTGCAACCAACCCAAGCAGAAACTTGTATCTCCCTCTCTGCAATTACTTCATACACCATTTTTTTTCCAACAGCGAGCAGAATTTTCCCCCCTCCCAAAGTCTCTCCTGTCTTGTCTCTCTAGTTCTTTTGTTCTGCGCCCCTCGTCTCTCTTTTAATTTTTTATTTATTTTTTTCCCTTGTTTTACTCTGTCAGTGTTATAGCCACTGAGTCCCACGTGTAAGCCCTGTCCTGGTAAACTTCTATAAATACCATGAGATGATCTTGGCCATCAGCGTTTCCCCGGCTTCTCTGCAGTGCTAGCAGCTTTATCATTTTCTCACATTTTATTGAATCTTTAGATTATAAATAACCAGCCCAGCAAATCCTCGGTGAAAATGTCAAACCATTTTCTAATATATCGAATGGAACAAGCTCAATTATCGATGACATTTCCTGTTAATGTTTCTAAGGACATTTCTGGGGCTGTAATCAGATCTGCTCACTGTTCATCACCTTGTAATATTGTTTTTGTCTCAAGGAAACGCCAAAACAATGAAAACTTGATGCACATCATTAATTTATTTATTTCTTCTAAAAACCTCGCTGATGCATTTCTATAAGACAAGTCACTAAACTGTTCAGTGCTAAATGTCTTTTGGCCTCATTTCCCCTTCCCTGCCAGTGTGAAAACTCTCTCTTGTTCGTCGTCTAATAAATGGGACAGGGACGGTCATGTAGGGAACAGAAAGTACTGTGTGAGGAAATGAGATTTTTGAAAAGCCAGTTGAATCTTTTAGTTTAAAAACCACCTGGAAGAAGTTTTAAGTTGGTGACTTAATTATTCTAATCATCCGATAGATTCTTGAAAAGCTCCCACCTGGTTCCTAAAGGAAAAAATAAAAACAAACTGCTTCCTTTTGATCATATAAGTAAAATGTTAGCAATGTGAAATTCAGTCTATTTCAGATGTGGCTTGTTGAAAGACATTTTCTTTGCAAGAACAGCAGCCAAGATTCAGACTCACCTGGTACACGGTGTCCTAGATTTTCACTGTAAAGCACTGTTGGAGACACACATTTTGCAAGCAACAATAAAGTATCCATCTGTTCATGGGGAAACATTAGATATTAATTTAATCCCTCAATCTGCAGAACAGAAACTAATGCCTGATTACACACGAGCTATTTCAAAGTAGGGATTGGCTCTTGGATATTGACCATCTGTGATTGGCTGATTCCATCAACGCTGTTTTGTTTCTGTCCCCACATTATTTAGGTTGAATTAATTTAGCCTTTCAGGACACCTCACCTGCAAATGTACAATCCTAACAAACAATCTGATCATCTCAGACACAACCCACCTCGTCTATTTTAGGTTTCTGACAGCAGAGCAGCCTGCTTTACATTTTATTGCTTAGCAACAATTTGTCCTATATACGTGATTTAAATGGAAGCAGTGCCTTGGTAAAATTTCTCATATTAAGCAGAAAGATACAGCAGCCTATAAATATTTTAGAAGTTCTTTTGAAGAAAGATTACACACATCCGTGTGTTTGTGAGTTCATAGAGGAAATAAACAATTTCAGAGTTGATGTATGTGCTTAAAGGGCTACTAGACAGTTTTGCTCACTTTTAGCACCCCCTAGTGTTCGTTAAAAATGTTGTGGTTAAACCAAAAAAAAAATCACACTTATCTCCTCACTGTGCGTTTGTCTTTTTAACACCTAATCCAACAGCTGAAATGTCTCCTCAGCTTTCATTCGTTTCTAGAGGAGAAATTCTTCACTAAATCAAACAAATCAGCTGTGTTCACGGTCTAAAACATGCAGGAAAATTGCTGGAAGCAGACTCCAGCTCCAGTCCACAGCTCCCTCCATCAGCAGGGAGCAGCCCGCCAACTCCGAAGTTGCAAGTGTGGTTTTCTGGCCACAGGGGTAGGAGGGGTCTGAGTAGCATTTCATAAACCCTGTAAAGTTTTTTTTTGGCACTTTCTGGCTCAAGAAAATCATTTAAAAATATGAAAAAGTTGCATAGTATCCTTTAAAAATGCTTTAACAGAGCCTTTTCTGCGGATGTAACTGTTGAGAAATATTATACGCAGCATTTAGCCATCGTTCTAGTGAATGGGTGTGTTTCCACTGCCCGCAGAGCGTTGCGTTGTGGAAGGGTCTCAGAAGATGCTTGTATTTCTTTTACAGTTATATGTGAAAGTTGACAACTCGGTTCCTTTTTTGGTTTCAAAAACTCAGTTAAAAGCACATAACACAGGAGAACCTTTTTTAGGTAGTAAAATGCCATTCTCAGCATCTTGCTGCAAGATGGCCACTCAAGCCACTGAATCACTCGGATGCCCCACTAAATCTGATTTTACTTCTCTGCCATGTATATTTGTGAGTCTGTCCCGAGGCGGTATATCTGTCATAGTGGAGAAGCTCATTAAATTAGACCTCGAGTCGAACAGCAAAGAAAGACCTTAGGAGAGAGCTGTGGCGTTATTAGCAATAAGCTCAAGGCTTCAACTCCCAGCTGAAACTCATCAGATTACCGCACATTAAACGGCTCCAACCTGCTTGTTGAGTTGTAGTAGCAAAGTCAGGCCATTGAGTTTATCGAGTTAAGAATTAAAATAACAAGATGAAAACAGATTAATGTAGAGCTGGTAAAGCGTCTTCTTTAAAGTTTACAAATGTACAAATTGTTTCAAAGAAAGGAGACGAGCTGTAGGAGTTTACGTTGTTCAGTTTCTTCTTGGACATTTTAAAACACGAGGGAATTTAAACAATGTTTTCAATGCTTCCTTCATATGCCCATTTCAATGGAAATAGCTGTATAGAAGAGCATGTCTTTCCTGACCCTGGCCTCTAATGTCTTTGTCTTTGCCCAGGTATCGAATGCCCACGTAGCTCCCGGAACCTGCCTGGCGGGGTGCAGGTGGCCGAACCCTTCAGTGATGAGGCCATGCTGTTCACCAAAGAGCTGGTGTTGCAACGAGAGGTAGGCCACGGCCGTTTTCTCCCTGTTTTTTTTATGGTCCAAGTGTACTGCAGAGGATAACATTTTTTACGTGTGTGTGTGGGGGGGTGGGGGTGGGGGTACTTTTTAGCAACAAATGTAGAAAAGCTAAGATTATTTGTCCTTTAAGGAGTTTTTAAAGGAAGTCCCTGCTTCTTCCTTCATTTGAGAGAAAAACCCGTATGTGGCTCTTTTTAAACTTTTGCAATTATCTTTCAGTCATCACTTCCATTCAGTTTACTCTTCTCCTAGAGACGTCTTTGTTAGGGTGAGGAAACAGTGGTTTTAGAATATGTTAGGATATTGCTAGATGGTGGCATTATTTTACTTATTTTCAGGTAACATCTGAGTTTATTCTTACACCGTCAAGACAATTTATGTAAACATGGGACCACTGGCTTTAATAAGCTGATTAAATTATTTACTCCCAGTTGAACATTATGACAGCATTAAACACACTGTACCCATCCCTTCAGTGATGTCGAATCTCATAAAAATTGTAGAAAAGGTTTACATAATCTTGTAAATGACCCACTGAAACACACACACACACACACACACACACACACACACACACACACACACACACACACACACCCTTCTTATTCCCTTCTGACAGAAAGCTCACCTGATACTGGATCAGTGCTCCTGGACTTTGGAGAAGTCCATCCACTGTGTGCCTGCTCATTCACATGCTAATAGGTTTTTATAAGAAGCAGTGAACGGACCAAATCCATGATGGAACGAGCTATAATCCTCCCACCACTTATCCTGGCCACACACTTACTCTCTTTTGCTTTTGCATTTTTTTTCCCCTTCTTCTTCTGCATCTTTATCTCTTCTGTAAAGGGATTTTATGTGTGGGGTGGCTGACTCCACTGTCCTCTGCTGTTTCATTGTGATGGAAATGGGGTCTTAGCTAGTGTCGCAGGTGAGCTAATGTTGAAACTGGTGTGTGTGCAGGTTTGGCAAGTTGACAGCACTTTGAGAAAGCCTGGGTTCAAAAACAAAACTGAAGTGGGCTGAATGCAAAAGTGCAGTTTCTAAACATTTGTAAATTGTGCCTGTGTTTTTAGGAGTTTTATTTGGGAAAATATTATAGAAAAAGAAAAGATTCTAGTAAAAAATAATTCCAGAAATCCACTTTAGTGTCTTTATCTTCTAATCATGTACTTGCAGCAATGTGTTTTTCTTCTAGTCTTCTGATGGTTTAATCCCTTTTTGCATCATAACATCAACTGAAGCAGCAATTTTCATTATTTTTATTTACAGTTGAGCTTTGGGTACATTACAGAAACAACCCTGCATCTTAAATGGAATCTGAATGACTACCTCTATATAACCTTCTGTGGTTTAGGTGCATTGATGTAGCGGCAGGAAAAATATAATACACTGATATCACTATTTCATCAAAAATCACCCCAAATGTAAATAATTTAGCAAGTTACTGAAAAATAAAACCAAACTATGTCCCTAAACAGCCCAAAGGAGAGGAAATCTAAGCCAGCTAATATTTTTGAAGGGATTCGGGTTGTGGGAGAACTATTCTATTCATATCAGAATTATTCACATCATCTACATAATGTGTAAACGATGTAAATGACAAGATGCAGTTTATAGTAACTCGACAGCATTTTGGCAGATTTAGTGTTAGCTACCTTGTGCTAATAGGCTCTAGTTATGCTAACATATGGCAATATATAAATCACCAACCAGCCCATGGTAACGTCATGTTAATGGAGCAAATCTAGTGATAATCAAGACACTGATGGTACATATTACTTTCATGAACACACTGTGATCATGCTTAATGTGTCACATCTAAAATTGTCCTTGTGGAAACGGTCCATCTGTCCTACAGATGATGCTACAACCTCTGTTTTGGCAAATTGTCAGCCTGTGAAAGTCCTTAATAACGTATTACTGTCATGTCACCCATCCTTACAAGGGGCAATGCTACAAAATTGGTAAACAAAGCACAAAAAGACAAACACGTGTAGTTTCCATCCCACTGCAGGGATCAATACTGTTATTTCAAGGTGTAACACTCAAAAGAAACATGTTTTGTTATGACTAAAGCCCCCTTCAGACAGGCCATGAAAAACGGAAAAGTTCGGGGCTCTGTCCTTAAGACCTTTATGTCTGAATACAAACATCCGGATAACCTTTTCTGTAATTAAACCGGACGAAGCCCCTAGTAGCAGGACCAGACTTTTCAGGGACAGGGTGGCTGCTTCAGACTGGTAAGGTAGAGTTCCGGAGAGGGAGGAGGAGGGGACCGGGGGACGCCGTGCGCACCTACATAGCTCACTCCTGTAGCATGCGGCGAACCATGGCAGCTTGCCTCCTACGGTACCGTCTCCTAGATGTGCGACGGAGCGCTTCACACCGCTTCCATGATTCCTTTAACCATTGAGCTTCATCATCCAGGTCTCTTATGCGTCTTCGTGTGCGCAGAATTATGCTTAACATAAGTCCCATCAGTGAGAGGAATTCTATCTCTTCGTCGGCCATGTTTGACTGAATGGCTTTGTTTGGGTAAATGACGCATGTACGCCCGCCGCACTATCTGGGTTCAGCCCCCCCCACCCCCCCACCCCCAGACTGAAAACACAGTTCTGGTTAAAAACCGGACTGAATTGTCCACACATATTCCAGAATGTCAATCTGAGAAGGGCTTAAGACCACCAGAAGCCATAACTTTGATTTCAACTCGATGACAGCACTCCACATTCTAGCTGATTGGTAACGAACCCATTAAAAGAAACCGGCCAGGATTTTTTTAAAAACTTTTCTTCGGTTTTGTTTTGCAATTGGATGAATGCTGCCACCAATCAAGCTTGCTTTTGAACTTCAAAGCACACACAGCCAAGTGGTTCCACAGAAAAGTCAACAACGTGCACTTGTGTCTGCAAGAAGTGCCTGTCCTCAAATGACAACATAGAAGAAATGTAATGGTCAGGTTTTCTGGCACATTTTTAAAGTAAGTAAACCACGCTGCTGCACTGTCGAGGCCTTCTTGTATAAAGTTTCAAATTCCAATTAAACAGTTGCCATCATGCCCATAACCACCTTCATCCACACTAACCTTCTCCTTTAGCCAGTCGTTTGTGGTGTCAGCAAATTATTTGCAGGTAGGTGGGAGTTATCAGGCATGACCGAGCTACATAATGAGTCCAGAGCTCACTGTGGGGGCTGATTGGTTGGCTGCACTGACCTGCTGTTTAGGCTAATTCGAACACACTTTCTCACAGGAACACATTCGACTTGCTGAAGACACAATCAAGCTTTGACACACCTAAATCGGCACCTTTCCTGCTGAAAAATAATTGAACGGGAGAGAAAAAGAAAAAAATTAATCACTCAAGTGAGCCAGTCATCTAGCTGGAAGATTCACATGGTAGCGTTAATGTCATACAATCGGTGGCTGTTAAACACGATGGAGCTGCCTGAGACGGAGTTGGACGGAAGAGGTGAGAGGAAGCGCTGGAGCTCTAATGAGTAGCAGCAGAAGATGAAAGATCGAGAGGAAGAACCCATCAGCACTGCTGATCTCTTCTCTCCATCTTTTATTTTCACCACAACTTAAACAAACACATTACCGAGATGTGTCGCACTCCAGCACGGAGTAACACGCAATCTTGTTTAAAAGCATCTGATTGCAACAGCTTTCCAAGATGTTCCTAAGGTGTCTCAGGTGAATAACATTTGATTTGAGTTTTGGTGGCATATTCATTTGCATTCATGAAATATTTTTCTCACTTGTGCACCTTGGCACCAATTTGCATTCTCAGGGGGGGCTTTGTTGAGCTTGTATGTTGACTCTGTGATCTTTATGCCACGTCCTTTGCCGCTTCCGTACATATGGCTCATTTCTGTCTAATTAGCCATTTCCTTGTCCTTGTATCCTAAAATGGTGAGTTTGCTACTAGCTTGAACACTCATCACTTCTAGTTTTTTACCATCTGTTTCTCATCTCATCTTCCCTGTCCTCTTGGTAAAATGCTGTTTTAATTTATCTTGATGCAGACATTCATAGTTACTGCAGCACCCAGTGATGGGAAAGTTTGATTTTCCTCGTCTGTTTTCCCACCCGACACTACCCAATTCCCCGATTTCATGGATACGCTGTCACTTTTTCTTTTTTGAAAATAGAAATCCTTTTGTGTTTATCTTCTCCGTCTTCCCACATCCCAACCCCCCCCCCCCCCCCCCCCCCCTGTGTACTTTTAATCTATGACAGACACTGTTCCCATTCCCAGCGTGGAACTAGCAACAGCAGCACGGAATTCTGAGGAGAATGAGCACGATAGTAAACAGCATTCCCCAGATATTTCCATTTTTAGGTTTTCATTTCTCTCATCTCCCACCTTCCATTGACCAAAACACCCATTCACTATCTCAGTCACCGAGCCTCCTCCTCGATTTCGGCTAGTAACTTCAAAAGCTCATGCAAACCAGCAGGGAGGTGAACCAATGAGCTTTAACACCTCGACTTGTTTATCTTAGATGAGTCGGTTGACTTGAAACAAGTCACAAATTCATAAGAAAAATTATACATTTCCAACTGTCTCATTAAAATTCTGCACACCTAATAAGTGTCATTCAACCTGGGGTGACAGTGTGACGCTTGCTTCAAAGCAAAGTGCCAGATCTCTTAAAGTAAGGAGCTATTTTTAAAGCCATGTGCTAGTTGTTGCTCGCAGGAAATACATTTCTCCTTTTTTGTTTTAAATCCATGTTTAGTTAGGATCTGTCATATGTTATGTGCACACACAGATTTGTCTCCTCATCTTTTAATATACGTCATTGCGTATTTCTTGCTCTGACTGATCACCAGGTGGATGAAGGAAGCAAGGATGAGAGGAGGATGTGAATTGGTTTGAGCGACGATGAGAGCAGGCTAAGTGGACTGTAATTTCCAGTGTACCGTTCTGCCTTCATCCTGTCAGTTCTGTTGACCTCATTCAGTCTGGGTGGTC